GCAGGGATATATTAAACACAAATATTAGGGAATCTTGGGAGTAGAGTCATCCAAAAAATATATAAATATATCGACACCTTAATTTAACAAGACTAATGTGGGACAATTTTAGGTTGGTTTATTCTATATACTGCCCTTTCTCATCGTATGTTACAACTCGACAACTCTTGATTTTTTTCTTGTATTGAATTACGTCTGCGTAAACCAATGACTAAACAATATAAGGACATGTAACGCCCCTATACGGGCTGCAGCAAAATTTGTGACCTTTTTTTTTGTTTTGGTGGCAAACAGTGAGTCGTCATTTGGTCACCAGCGACAATTTTAGCGATTTTTAATAGTTTGTGTGTAGTAAACTTTGTATAAACTTTATTACAATGGTGATTAGTTGTTCAGCTTCCAAGTGTAAAAGCAGCAGCGATAAGAAAGAGCCAGGAGTTACTTTTCATAGGTAAATAAACAGTCCACTCCAACTTTTTAGCGTTTTCTTATTGAATTCGATAATTATTCTTCAATTTCAATTAACATCTATATGTACTTGATATGTGCTATACGTCGATACTAGTTTTGTACCTTTTGTTAACATTTTAATGCGTTTTTTTCGTAATTAATGAGGATGATACACCATAGGCGTAGTCAAAACAAACAGCTAGGTTAAGAAAAATATGTCCCACGGCACTGTTTGGTGACATCGTCACAATTTGTTCTCGGGTGTTATTTGTCCCTGGATTCTTTAGTCATTGGCGTAAACCCTTCCTGTCGAATATGGAATTATTAAAATCGCGTATAAGCGAAACCGCGTAAAACAAGGGGAATCCTTTATATGTAATGTTCAGGAATAAGTGCAATATAATGTTCCACAAATCTGCAGCTAAAACTTAGCCTCTCTAAATTACATATATGTAAATTGTGCATCAAACATTATACATTGTTGTATTTTGTTTTCAATGTCACAAAAAATATATGTCATCCCTACTAGAAAAGGTTTTTAATGTTATTCGTACAAAACGAAATCTTATGTGGCTCTAAAAAGAGGTCGTAACTTTTGACGAAAAACGTATTAGCACCATACATAGTGACAAGTTAAAAAGTAAAAATATAGACGTATTTTCAATAAGCTGTACTAAAAATCGCAATTTGTAACCTTTCCAGTGCCGTAGAAAATTTATTTTGTATTTAAAATATAGTAGAATCAAAATAATACAATTAGGTATGATAGTGTCTTCTTCAAAAGCGAATATTTCCAACAAAAATTAAGCTATTGAGATGATCCAAAAAACAAACTATCGAGAAAGGATGTATCTAGATGAAAAAAAAAATTAAATTCCTTTCTATCTTAACATATTCCACAGGATGTTTCAAACTTTCACCAAAATATCAACATTTTGTTTTCCCTCATATAATTGACAGATGGGAACTTTTGTTTTTAATTTAGAAAGAGATACTAAAAAATCAAATAATTTGGCTAGATATTGCTTAAACAATAATCAAAATTGGCCCACTAGAACAAAATATATATTAATCCTAAAAAAACATCAAAATTTTAAGGTGCCGGTTTTTCTTACCGGTGAGTGTATATTTTACTTAAAATGCAGAAATGTATTATAAGAAACTTAACTTAAAAGTATTTTTATACTCTTTGTAAGTAGAATGTTATTTTTGATTTGATCACTTATTTGGTCAATATCTTTAATTTCTATTTGATACAACATTTATGTATAATTGGGGTTTAATCTGAAGCAAAATCGAAAAACAAAAGCAGCTACGCCCCTGTACTTCTGCCTCGTAAAAATAACAATGTTTTAAATGGCTGAGCGAAGAGAAGAAGGAGTCTGCCATTAATAAAAAGCTGAAACGCTCAAGATTTTATTTATTTCACGATGTATAAGCTATCTCGGCTGTCTTGGCCGCTCTTTCTTGACGTAACAATAAGACGGAACCTCGCCAGTCAGTGCAGATGGACTATGAAACGTTCCCCATTCTCCCTCCCCCAGCTCCCCTTGCCGAAAATAACTTCGTACACTTGTCAGTTTCGCTAACTGTCACATAAAGTTCGCAGACCAATGAGACACAAAGTATTTTATACGAAAATGGAGTATGAGCAGTGAAGAATTTTCCATACGGTTCATATATTCAAAATTTGTAAAAAATTGTATGTTGGAAACGTAGAAATGACGTTCTAAACCATTTTTTTCGATTATATGAATTTAATACAGGGGTCCCTCGCTTATACAGGGTGTTCCAATGTTCCGTGGACATAGAACTACTATACGTAGTTTTGTACTACCAGCGGGCCCGTTCCTGTGGTATCTGGCGCCTACGTGCAGCATTCTTTGGTGCGCCCTTTTTATATTTAAATCAATTATATATTTTAATCTTAATCTCAAAAATTTAAAGAATTTATATTCTGCGACAAACGAGCAATATGTAGGTAATTGGAAATGTAAAAAAAACTATTCTAATTAAAGTAAAAAAACATTTATTAAATAAAGAAAACAAACAAAACCACAAAAATATTTAGTAACAAAAATAGTACCCTAAAGAAAAAAACTGACCCATTTTATATGAAATACATAAAAACAATAAACCAAAAATCGGAAATAATATGCATGTACTGATTTCTTTCGAAAATCGACAACTATGAAACTATGAACCCTTCCCGGACACAAACGGTACATTGTGAGACAGGAAATTGTAGAGAGAAACAAGCCCTATAACATACGATACAACATTTTAATGAACAGTGCTTTCCATAAAATCAATAAAATGAAAGATATACGAAATAATATACATGTACTGATTTCTTTCGAAAATCGACAACTATGATACTATGATCCCTTCCCCGACACAAACGGTATATTGTGAGACAGAAAATTGTAGAGAGAAACAAGCCCTTAATATAGGATACAACATTTTAATGAACAGTGCTTTCCATAAAATCAATAAAATGAAAAATATATAAATAATATACATGTACTGATTTGCCGACAGATTGCCCTAGACTTGTTTATTCGGTGCGACTAACGCAAAAAAGACGCTAAGCAAACTTTATCCTATGATGTATGTTTAAGTATTTGTTTATTAACAAGAAAGCGTATCGGTTTTTTGTTACAAAGTACTGATTGACACTTCGATTTTGCGCCCCCAAAATGTTGCTCGCCAGGAACGGCCCTGACTACCATAGTAAATATTTGTGTCACTGACATATATGTATTTATGTGTTTTACATTTATACTTCGAAAACCACATATTTTTTTTAAATCGTTAATCTTGATGATCATGGTTCCTGGTCATTGGAACACATTAGTCAAATTATTATACTACCATCTGACATTGCATAAGTTAAATTTAGTCTGAGGTCTTAAAAAGAAGGAAAGGATACATGGAGGAAAGATACAAGGCGATGTTGATAATAGAAGTGGAAAAATTCAATAAAAAATCGAAATATATTCTTTGTCTATACGAAAAATATTCTATGTCTGACAGTTTTATATATTTTCTTTTGCTTGGTGCAAAAATATTTAAATAAGCGATGCTTTCCGCTGAACCAACCCGACTAAAATATGTCTCTGTCGGCTGACTGAGCGTAAGGGGGTGTTCACACACCTCCAAACCGTGTAAATCCTTTCCGGGATTTGTAAAACGAGACAGTATAAGCGCCTGCATGTTTCGGCTGACCATTTATCATGCCCTTTCGGACTGGTCTTTAATTGCCGTTGCGCTATCGCTCGCTTTTTCCGTCTCCAGTTGAAATTCGCGTCGACTGTCGACACCCCCAAACTTAATGTTTCGATGTCCTCGAATAAATTAGTATCAATCAAAAAGCGTTTTGCATTCGACTATTAATCTTTCTCAGTAGTTCAGTGCACTGGATAGAAAAACAAATCGATATTTCAAACAGTGTTTGTATCATTGACAACCACGATTGTTGATCATCTGCATTTCTTTGTTTTTTAGCTTCAATCTACTGAGGTGTTCATTGAAGAGACAGCGTCTTCTGTGCCTTGGTGGGCTGGCACCCAGAGTAGGAGGACTTTATTTTCTTTGCCTAATTTGTTCAGCTTTTCTAGGCATTCTTTGACCAATTTCGAATTCATTGTTACTGAGTTGTAATCTTTTAATGCTGCTTATTGACTATCGGAAAACACGGATATTTCTTGTTTCCGATAGTTCCTATCTAAGATAAGTTGTACGCATCTTTCGATAGCGTAGATTTCTGCCTGAAGGATACTGGGCTAAGAACCCATTGGTTCGGAGTACTTAGTTTTCGATCCAAATACTCCTATCCCTGTTTTTACTTTAGTTTTGAAAGCATCAGTATACCATTTTATGGTATGGTCTTTTACATGCTGAGCAAAGGTTTCTCTCTTGCAGTTATTTTTATTGCTCGATACTACAGTTTTATTCCGAATTTATTTTGAGCATATACAGGGCACAACAATAAGTCGAAGTTTTTTGCTCGAACTTTGTGACACCCTGTAGGGTGCAGCAGCTGTAGTAGCTACTGCTAAATCAAATCACATTGTAGCCTCATCTTTTGTGAGTATTTTCTTTTTATAATCACATTATCTCCAGGGGTGGATGGGCCATATGGGAAAACGGGAAAATTCTTACGTGTTACCACTATTCTTTTATTAATAACTAATAAATATATGACATAACAAATATATATGACAACACAGGTTATCGAAAAGTTCGAGCAAAAAACTTCGTCTTATTGTTGTGCCCTGTATATGCTCAAAATAAATTCGGAATAAAAATTTCTGACGTAGCATCCGTTAAGAAAGAATTAATTTACAATTAAAAGAAAAAATCATCAAAATCTAATGAGTGATTCGCGAGAAATCCAACTTTGAAATTGGAACTAGTTTTTAGTGGCCGGTTTTTTTTTGCGGGTGAGTTTGATAAAAAATTTTCACATATTCATAAACAAAATTTGAAAACAAAACGTCAGAACTCTATCTAATTTAGACATGAAAGACGGTATATTTTTGTTACAGATCTTATGCTTAGCAAGAAAAAACGAGACCCATCCAGCTGTCCAGTGTGCGGACTGACCATATCACCTGGGGAGCTCGAAAGTCACTTTATGCAAGAACTGGAAAGGCTTTACAAACTAAACGGAACTGGACTAGCTGCTAGCAGGAAACGAAACATCAGGGAACCAGGGAGACCTCCTGCTTTGCCTGGTGATAGTGGACCTGAGGGTCGCTGGGAGACATTTCAGAGAATCAAGACCAACAGACAAGGAAGGCTGCGGCTCAAAATAAGGAAGCGCAAAGCTGATGATGGGTGTTCCATTTGTACTGGAAGACCGCATAGAACGCCTGAAGAGCTTTCTTTACATGTGCAGCAATGCACAAGAAAGGTATTATAAAATATATTTAACATTAGATGAGAGAAAATTCATTTTGTATATTACTACAATCTTACCTCTACAAAATATATCATAATATTGATACAGATAATTATTAATTCAAAAATTCGATATTTTAGAACCTGAATGATGAAGACGAAACAGTCGATGTTGAAGGAGACTCAGAATTGGAAGAGTGGCACGAAAGCCAAAGACGACGAACGTCTTCTTTGGTTAGTGGACATTCAAACCGATCTTCCCGAATTACTGAGGTGGATAACGAAGGAGATGACGTCATTGTTGATGGGGATGAACCGGAAGAAAGTACGTTTGGGCCTTCCCAATACACGGAATCCGATGTAGTGATGAAAGAGTCGCAGGAAAAGGATGGAGTCCAATCACAAGTGGCCACTGTCAACTCTAGCGGAGATGTAGAAGTCAAGCACGAGCCTAGAAATGGGCAAGCTCATATCGGGCAGCAATGTGACAGCAATGTCAGCACTTCGGATGCTGAACCCAGCAGTCGGCTGCAGTTAATTGAGGAACTCAAAAACAGAATCAAACAGTTAGAGGCAGAAGGTCTGGCCAATGGCGAAAGGACTACTAGTGATACACCCACTCCTCAACCAGATGAATATAAATGCTTAATATGCTTGGTAATAATATTTAATTAATTATACTACATATAACATATAAATTAATCAATTACTTTTGTTACTTTCAGGAGCACTACAAAAAGCCAGTAATTTCAACAGTGTGTTGGCATGTCCATTGCGAAGAATGTTGGCTTCACACTCTGGTAAGCATTGCATAAAAACTCATACCATTAAACTCTACTAATCAGATTTTATTACAGGGTAGCAAGAAGGTATGTCCCCAATGTAGCATGATCACATCCCCCACTGACCTCCGAAGAATCTTCATGTAAAATCCTTATCTTTTACAATTATATGATATTACCACATACTAATGGGATTTTGCACATTAACATTGTATGAACATTAAGCACCTTAAATCTATATTGTAAACGTTTAATTTCTTGTAAGCCCATGAGAAACCAAACAATTTAACTTATATGAAGGAAGAATACTGCCAAGATGAGTTAAATCATTTCTTCAAAAAATATTTATATAATAGTTGTTCCTAACCCTGTAAAATAATACCCCATTCCTCCCTACAAAAAAATGAATTTATATCCGTACTTAAACAAGAAGTATTAAGTTCTATAAATGTGATATTCAACATATTAAAATTTTAAATATTCTCAAAATCTAGTATTAGTAAATAATAATATTAAAAATATTATATATTATTGTTGATTTTGTTAGTCCTACTTATTAAATGAATTAGGAAATTATCTTGGATTAATATAAATTGTTATTTCGACAACTCTTTCTTTTTCCATAGATTTTCCCAATTTATAATTTAATCCTATAATTATTGTTATTTGTTTTGTATGATAGACACGATTTTTAAGAACAACTTACTTTAAAAGTTATTCTTCGAGCATATTTTTATCATGTCTAGTTTAAAACTAATATAATTAAAATATATATGTATGTACATATAATTGTTTTTGTTGTTGTAAATCACTAGCGTAAAATAAGTTTATGTATTATAAATATGTACATAGAAAACATACTCTGTAGATATCTAATTAAAGTATTGTATTTAAACCTATCTAAAACGATTAATAAATGTCAGTAACTAATATATATTAGTATTTTTATCAGACCTTTCCCTTATAAGACAAAACAGATATTTTAAATTCGCTCCTTTCAGTGAAAATAAAACTACTGTAATATGTCGCCATCTATACGGATAACTCGAAAATATATTCCACTACATAATAAAAAAATTTGCAGAGACATCTATTGATTGCTAAGTAAAATTCAAATCAAAACTATAAATTAGTGTGTTCTGTGACTATAAACTTATTCTATGCCAATGCTATAAACCAATATAAACCATTTTTCAAACAATTATTGCAACTTTTATATTAAAACCAGCATTACCCCAGCAATATTTTCCATTAATATTATGAAAATAAATAGTAAAAAATTACCAATTTGAAAGAGAATTTTGCTCTGTATCGGTTTATCATCAGCTGCGTTCTGTCAAAAAATACAGAAATTCGTTTTGGGGTTAAGCGCGCGTCCATTTTTCTCGTAAATAAATTACAAATTTTATGCTATTTGTTGTTTGTCATGAAGTATATTTTTGTTCTAAAGAATAAACAAGATATTTAATTATTCGCGTTCGTAAAATGTAGTGTGCGTTCTGTTCAAAATCTAAACAAGAACGTAGCATCTTACCACCATATATTTTCACATAGGGTCATTCATTAATATAGGTTTTTAAACTGTGTCTCAAAGATAAATATTACTAAGAACGCTTATTGTCACTTAAAACGATGAAAAGAAAGAAGCAACAAGATAGTGAGCAACATGAACAACCACTTAGAGCTAAGAAAAAGAAAAATCACAATGACAATGTACCAGAAGTTCTTAACATTTCCAAAAAGACAAGCAAGAAGAACTTGGTAATCAAAGCAGAGATCAAAGAGGAAATTCCTGACATTTCAGAACCCCTTAAAAGAAAGAGGGATAAATTAGTAAAAAGTGATATTAATATTAATAGAAATGGACAGTCAGTTGATGATATACAAGATGTAGAAATGGAGTCTCAATTACCAAAAAAGACCAAAAAGAAAGTTAGGATAGATGAGACGGAGAGCTTAAAAATCAAGAAAGAAATGGCCGATACCGAGCCTCACTTTTCAACAAAAGAACTACCAGCTAAAATTATAAAATCTAAAATGAACAAAGCATTAACAGAGGATGTTAAAGTTTCACCAGTTACTGTACAAAGTCCGCAAGTTCATATGGGCATAGCTTCAAAAGCTGTTCATAACGGTAGTAAAGAGGAAGAAGAATCTAGCACTACTGAAGATTCAGATTTAGAAGTGTACTATATAAATAAAAATGCAGAAAAGGAAGCTAAACAAAAAGAGAAAGAGTCAATCCCCAAAAAACGTAATTCAATTATTTATTTAAAAGAATAGTAATTAAGTATATAATTTTAGATTCCATTTTTATGCCAAAAGAAGATCAAGACCTTCTAGTTCAAAGAATTCAGGATTGCATACCTGAAAATGATACTAAGAGCTACAAATACCGTGTAACTCAAATAGAATGGGCAAAAGTATATTTTTCTAGTTGAAATATGCTAAACCTAATTTGAAATTTGCTTTAGGTAGCATTTAAAAATTACTCAGTAGAGGATTGTCAGAAAGTATGGGCTCAGTTGTTGAAGAAAGTTAGACATTATAGGCTCTTAATTGAAATAACGCATGATGTAAGGCAAGTTATTGAAAATATTGATTTAAAGGCACAATCCAAACATCCAAAGGTAATAAAAAATATATTGACACAAAATCAGTACCTAATAGTTCTTTATATACCTTTCAGACATCAACAAAAAAACATCCAGATATGCCAAAAAGACCCTTAAGTTCTTACTTTCTATTTTACATTAGAAAAAAGGATAAGATTGCCAAAGAGCATCCTGAAGCAGATGTGGTAAGTATAATATTGAGATTCTTTTAAGACCTTTTAGCCAAAATATTTGTTTTTTTTAGACTGAGTTAAACAAATATATTAGTGAAAAATATTACAGTCTCCCTTTAGAAAAGAAGCAAAAATATGATGGACTAGCTGCCAAAAATAGAGAGAAATATAAGAAAGATATGGAGGAGTTTTAGTAAGTTTATATTTCTAACACAGTATCAAAAAGAAACATTTTTACATTATCATTTAGTGTCAAACACCCAGAGTTCAGAAAAACAATAAAGAAAGAACCCAAAATCAAAAAGGAAAAACCACCAAACAAACCTGAAACTCCCTACAGATTATACATGTTGGCTGAGTTAAATAAAGAACCGATTGATGAACAATATAAGACAGAATTTAAGGAACTGTGTAGGGAGAAATGGAAACAAATGCCAGATGGAAAAAAACTGGTTTGGATAAATCTTGCTGAGGAACATCTGTTGAAATACAATGAAGAATTAAAAAGTTATATGGCAAGGTATCCCGAATATATTCCGAAACTCCCTACCAAACCTTTTCTGTCAAGGGAAGAACTGAATCTCAAAGACAAGCTTGCTGGTAACTAAAATAAAAGTTTATTAAAAAATTATTAAGTATAACTAACAAAATATTTTGTAGGCAAACCTAAAAAACCACCAACCACAGCTTACAGTCTATTTATGAGCACAGTAATGCAAAGTGAAGAAATAGCAAATATCCCTATTAAAGAAAGGATGAACTATTGTTCCGTCAAGTGGAAGCACATGAATGATGAAGAAAAAGATCAGTACAGAACTCAGCTGATAGATGTTAGCAGCATAGTTAAAAATTTTCTTATTCAATTTACAATAAAATATTTTATAGATAAATGTTCAGTACCAAGAGAAATTTAAAGCCTACCTGGACTCATTACCAGAAGATAAGAGGCAAGCAGAAATTCTTCTCAACGCTCCTAAGAAGAAGGTCCCTGAAAAATCGAGTTCTTCTAAGAAAAAACACAGTACAAAAAAATCATCTGGACTCACAAAGAAAAAGAAATCTCCACCCAAAAAGAAGGTATTGGTTAATCCAACACCCCCTCCAAGGTCCGTAAAATGTATGCTTAGAAAATATGAAGTAAAAGTTCTTTTTTATTCTTTCAGGTCTATGTATAAATACTTTTTGGAAAAATATGAAGGGGATAATCCGAAAGAGGCATGGAAAACATTAGATCCAAACGAAAAAGAAAAATATGAAAAGGAATTGACTACTCTAAAAGACAAATATATTAAAGATTTTGAAGCTTACTTGAAAAGTTTGACTAAAGAAGAATTAGCGGTGTTTTCTGCAAGCAGAAAACAACAAAGCAATGAGGAGAGCAGTTCTGAAGAGAGTGATTCAGAATCAGAGGTATTTTTCATAATTTTCTAACATTTCCAACTAATTTTCAAACTCCTATACTTATTTCAGGATTCTTCTGATGAATCTTCAGAAAATGAAGGATCGGATACAGATGAGAACTAGGTTAAGACATCAATCTGTCTAAATGTATAAAATAATTACAACATATTTATATCTTCTATCTGTAAAGGCAAATAGTTTTTTTAGCAAAAATCTACCTCCGAGAAGAGAGAATTTGGTCTTTCTAAAAAAACTACTTTACATCTCGATGTTAATTTGTATATTTGTCATACAAAATTTAAAAATAAATACCTCAAAAATATCTTTAGAGATAAGTATATTCTTGGAGAATGTTTGTTAATATTGGCTATAAATGTTTCTATACAACTGAAATATGGTTGGTTCTGTTGAAACTTGTGTTAATTATGTTTTAATAATTTTTTACAAGACATTGAAAGCTTCTACAAGGTGTGTCATAAAGTTTTTTTCCTATACGATTTTTTTTGTTAAAATTGTATAAAACAAAGGAAATTCAACAAGAGTAATTATTAATACAATAAGTTTTCTTTACAGTTCTGTAAATAATTGTAAAAAAATGAAAAATCAACTTTTGGAATACCAAAATTCAATCTAAAATAGTCTTTTATCGTCTACAAGAGTATCTCGATTATTTAGGAAGCCTATATACTACAAAATCGGTAGCCTGAAATGTAATATTTTTATTTTTCACAATTTTCTACACAGTAAAATAAAATTATGGCGTCAGAAATTATTTTTATTATATTGGACTATGTCTTATGTCATTCATATGAATAAACAATCAATTGAAAAATATATACAGGGTGTCTCAAAAATAAATGCAAGTATTTTAACAAGTAGTATAGTTCGACCCCAGAAACACGCTCGTCAGTTTTTTTTTGGCGAATAAAAATTTTCGAAAAATGACGAATAAAAATTTCGAACATTTTCCATTTTTCTCGACATTCTCCGGAAATTATTGAAAAACTCTTGTGTGTCATTGTTCATTAACCACGGTTGTCAAAATGTTAGCATAATTTTTTAATTAAATATTATAAGTTAAATATCTCGGCTATTTTGAATTTATTTTAAAAATAGTAAATAGAAAAGATGATTCTTTCGGCCAGATCTACCACCCCTTAAAATATTTGCACTCATTTATGAGACACCCTGTATATTTTTTTTATTCTCAGTAAACTCATTAATAAGAAATTTTATCATTTGTTGCCACACCGTGTATATATTTATAGACGTAGAATGTAGCGGGTTGGTAAAGACAATGACTTAAAGATGTAGAGGAACAGTTTATACCATCTTCTATAAATATAAAATCCCAGATCCGTTACAAACAAGCGCCAGAGCTTTTGGTTTCAGGTCCCAATTTGATAATTGTTTGTATAGCATATAATTCATCTATTTTAGTTGAAATCAAAAAGAAATACTCTTTATGCCAGTGTAGTTTTTACCACTCCTTTTTAACTTTATAACTATAAATGTCTGAGTGTACATTGATGTCCATCTGATAGATAATTATAAACCAGAAATGTTGATTCTCTTTCTAATAAGTTGTTAGATAAGACACTTTAATAGATACATATATTTTTCAAATTTCTTTTTTATTCTAGATGTAACGAAAAATCATTATTGTATGTCTCTCTCGTATTTTTAAGATTCCTTGTGCGTGTAATAAATCAGTGCTGAACTACATTTTGAAAATTATGGTAGCTAATATGTTCTATAAATTTTCAAAAAGTTACAGATCGTTTTTAATTTGTATATAATTACCATATGTGGTAGATTTATTAAATAAGTTTCAGTTGCTTTAATTTTACAGTTCTAACATAGTCAAATTATCTTGGCATAATTCATCTAGATGTATATTATATAGGAATAATAATAGATGTAACTGTTTAAATTAGTTTTATTTAATTACACTGGACACTACAATGAAATTACAAGTTGACTTTATAATGTTGAACAATGTTGTATGATTCAACACACATACATTAAACAACCAAATTATGTACACAGCTCTCCCGAAGAAGATTTTTTTTTATTAACGGGTTAAACAAATGGGTAAAATAAGGCCACTTAAAAATTATAACAATTTTCTTTATAGACAGATTAACAGGGTCTAAAATATTTACAAATGAATTAACAAACTAGATACATTTCTACAAAATAACGTTTCGTTTTGAATAGGTGCAGGCCTAATATACAAATAGTTTCAAAGGGTTAGCTTAGAACCTATTCATTATGCAAGAACACTACAATTTTATAACAATTATTCTACCTAGTTCTACCCTAATAGTTCTCTAAATCATAAATTCAAAATTGAATAAAAAACACTATTGTCGTAAGTAGGTGTATAATTTAATTTTCTTCTAAATCTTCTGAACAAAGTAAATATTTTATGCAACATTATATTAAACATGGTATACAACAAATATCTATGTTTATGTTAAAAATACACATAACAGTAGATAAAATTTGTTTTATGCTTGTAATAAATATACACAGATTAACCATGATCTAAGTGATAAATATTTTTCAATTTTTTGTATGCTAAAATAAGTCCAGAGGATATAGATAGAAGACAATTATATATAGGCAGTTAGGCCCAATTACAGATAGTGTGGCGCTTGATTGAGAATGCTTAGTATCACAAGAGCCGGCCACACTTAAGCATCTACATTTAAAGGAAGGCTTTCACTACAGTGGTAACATATGGTCCATTTACATCAAATGATAATTGTAAGAGAATTTTGAAATGTTAAAGTGGAATATATCAGTTAATTTGAGCACGGTTTTTAAGGGCTTTTGGCATTTTTAACAGACTGAAAAATAAAATGGATAAATTGATATACACCACTTTGTTTTAAGACACCTTAATAGTCCTCATAATACTGTGGAATTTTTAATTTGTGAGACAGATAGGAAATGTTTGTTACCACACTTATTCTGAAACGTTAATAGTAATTGTTTTTCCCTTTGCATCGTCAAATCTATCCATAGTTTTAATATCCATCATCATTGTTAAACCTATGCTCATAATAATCATTAAAATGAAGGTTACAAATAATCCAGACCAGATAGGAATTGTTGTAAAACCAACACAATTGTAAGGATCATCGAATTTTCCTTGTTTTGTGAAAATTGTGGACAGAAATACTGGTTGTACCTGCAATTAATAAAAAAATAGAATAAATTCTAAACCTTTTAAATCTGATGAAAATGCTCTATTTATTATTACCTGAAATTGAGGTAATGTAATTCCAGCAGTGGCATTTCCAAAAGTTTGATCACCACATGCATAAGAAAATCTGAAGGGAGCATAGATGGAACCATTAATATTGAATTGAGTTAAGGTATTGTTCACAGTCAAATTGACTGATTGAATATACCAATATCCAGTAGATGATTTCAAAAAGTCCAAACTGAACTGAATATTACTAGTGTTAGCAGCACCAGTCAAAACAACTGAATCAGTGGTATTTGTCTCAGTATATGAAAGAGCAACAGTCTCAACACTAAAAGTACATATTTATCAAAACATTTATAAAACTACATTTAATATATTTTTTACTTACTTATTATTTAATGTTACATTTGCATTTCCAGATGTATAGAAGAAAATAGATTCACTAAAGTACTGATTGGGCGATTGTTCATCTGATGCTGCAAAAAGTGCCCTTGATTTTCTTGAGTGAATTTCTCCAGATCCAATCTAGACATTAATACTCGATAAATATATGTAAAAAATATATTTCTTATAAGTATAAAGGGTTTAACTTACCCAAGATGCACGGTGGGCAGTATAGAAAGCCAATACATTGCTATCATCCTTCAAGAGTTTCTCATATACTGATGCAATAAATGAATCTAAAAAATTATTTATAAATTACTGGTGTTGAAAATATTAACACATTATAAACTACCATGGCGTTTCAATAGATCAAATCTCTGCTCGTTGTCTCTGGCATCATTTAGAGCCACAATGATAACTTTGGAATCAGGAATTTCAACATCATCTGTAAGTTGTTCAATTGAAGTTTCAAATACGTCCTCAGAGGAATGTCTTATAGCCTTAATTGGATTCTGTACATATGGTAAATATGTTACTTTTGATGATTTCCTTGCTTTGGATAAGTAATTAAATGGACTATTCCCTAGTCTATCTCTTTGACCAAAATCTTCAGGACTAAGCTAGAAATACAGAATTATAAGAATAAAACACTTGAACTGATATATTATGAAAAAATATCAGCCCTTTCATAGAAGGTCATATAAGTAAAAGGGCTTTTTTATAAAATGTTCAACTTACAGACTGTTCGACAAATAGAACTACTGTAGGGTTGCTCTTTAAAACATCACTAATGTAATCCTTAAAACTGTTTTGGCTAAGTTTGTGAAGTGCAGGTAGAGGATCACTTGTACTGAAAAATCATATGACATTAATTAGATCGAACTAAACATAAAATTTGGCATATTTTTAATAAAAATCTACTAATTTTTAAGGTTTTTATATATATAATTAATTATACAGTGTAAATAGGATGTTTTAGGGTAAAAAAGGATAAAAACATAAGACTTACCTTTTGGTACCCCACATAAACACAGGGACAAATTCGGATTGACATAAATGGATTAACACTAATAGATACAAAGAGGCGCATTGGAACTTTCTTCCTTTGTCCATTTTATAAAATAACTGGATCTCTAGAATGATTTTTCAGTCGTAACTTTATGGAAAAAGATCACGTGAATGTTACTGATTAAAGCTATATCACATTTGACAACAGTCAAGTCAGGTGAATTGGGCGAAGTCAAAATGTGACATATGACAATTCCACCACTACTTTTACTTAAATCTATTACGCCTCCATCTAGTGGCATCGAAGTATACCTAGATATTCAATTTTACTTAGATTTCTGTTCGCAAATTAAAGATCGTATCCGAGAGAGAAAGCAAATTGTCAGTGTATTGGAAAAAGAGAGATCTGTTAAGAGTATTAAAGCCATTGATTAAAGCTGATCGATCACCCGTTGATCACCCATTACCAACCGTTGGTGAAATTTCAGGGACAAACAATTTATGAGTCAAGTTAGGGGAAAAATCACCCAACCGTCGAACCGACAACCGACGTTTTCTCACACAAGCCAGCGGGTGGAGTCGTTTTGTATGTGGTGTTTTTAGCAACAAGTGTCAAAATAGTGTGTTTTTACAAATACCATGGGTTGTGCCGTTAGTACAACAGGTGAGAAGGCTGCCCAAGCCAGGTCAAAGAAAATTGATCGAGATCTTAGGGCAGATGGAGAACGGGCCGCTAGTGAAGTTAAACTTCTGTTGCTCGGTAAGTCGTTTTCAAATATCTAATGTTCCACAAATAACTGAAGAGTACTTTTAGGTGCTGGAGAATCTGGCAAAAGTACGATTGTAAAGCAGATGAAGATCATACATGAACTGGGCTATTCACCAGAAGAATGTGAACAATATCGTCCTGTTGTTTACAGCAATACTATCCAAAGTTTGATGGCAATTATTAGGGCTATGGGCCAATTAAGAGTTGATTTTGCTGATCCTAGTAAAGCAGTAAGTACCATGTTTTGGCAAATTTGTACTTATAAATAGCGAGCTTTAATTATTCTATGATCAACAATACTAAACAATCACATTGACGTACTTATGTTGCCATATATAGATTTAATATTAAATTCATAACACATCTCGACTAATATTTTATGTAAAAGGAAATCAATAATATTAGTATTTCAGTTTAATTGTTGCATTGTATTTCTGTGAAGAATGATAATAAATGTATACATGTAGATAACTGGCTTTGTTGATTTGAATTCAATACAGATAGAGATTTACTTTTATGTATATATGTATGTATTCTTACATATTACTTTATTTTAAATAACATGTTTTTTTAAGGATATTGCTAGACAATTCTTTACATATGCTAGTGCAGCTGAAGAAGGAGAGTTGACTCCAGAATTAGTAATGCTTATGAAGAGACTGTGGCAGGACCCAGGAGTTCAGTTATGTTTTTCAAGATCAAGGGAATATCAACTGAATGACTCAGCAGCTTATTATTTGAATGCATTAGATAGAATTTCACAAAAAAATTACATTCCCACCCAACAAGATGTTTTAAGAACTAGAGTTAAGACTACAGGAATAGTTGAAACACATTTTTCATTTAAGAGCTTGCACTTTAAGTAAGACAGTTATAATAAAATGTTTAGATAATATAATATTAATATAATTTTTAGAATGTTTGATGTGGGTGGTCAAAGATCTGAAAGAAAAAAATGGATTCATTGTTTTGAAGGTGTTACTGCTATAATATTTTGTGTTGCTCTCTCAGGTAAGCCAATAATTTATTTTTTTTACAATAATTCCATATTGAGTTATTGTAGGTTACGACCTAGTTCTTGCTGAAGACGAAGAAATGAATAGGATGGTTGAATCAATGAAATTATTTGACTCAATTTGCAACAGTAAATGGTTTGTAACAACTTCCATAATTCTTTTTCTAAATAAGAAAGATCTGTTTGAGGAAAAGATTGTTAGAAGTCCTTTAACAATCTGCTTTCCTGAATATACTGGCCCTAATACATACGATGATGCATCTGCTTATATTCGAATGAAATTTGAAAACCTAAATAGGAGAAAAGACCAAAAAGAAATATATACACACTTTACATGTGCAACAGACACAAGCAACATTCAGTTTGTATTTGATGCTGTCACTGATGTAATTATTAAAAATAATCTTAAAGATTGCGGATTGCTTATGTAAGTTATATTAGTTAAAAAATATTTATGAAATGGCTGTTTTTTTTTATCCAGATTCTTTAAATTAATTCATAAAATCTATTTAATAAGCCATATATATGTTATATAAAATAGAAAAGACAAGACTTTATTTGTATCCAATAGTGAGCTTGTTTTAAATTGTGCAAAATATTTATATTTATTTGTCAGTGCACAAAACCTAGGTGTTGGGTAGTTATTTAAGCGTTCAATGAAAAAAAACTTGATTAATCTAAAATAAGCCAAATACCCCATATTTTGCACAATTTATACACCATAAAATGCACAAGGCAATTTTTATTTCTATTCTCGTGTTTTTTAGTTAGTCTCCGTATTTATTATTTGTGTAGTGTTGTAAGATGAAGGAAATATTTGATCTCTTTATTTAAAAAAAAAGTTACAAAAGGAAATATTTGCTTTGAAGCAATTTGCTTCATGCAATATTAAGAATTATTTTTGATTTTATTCTAAGAATTTTCATAATAATACAGGGTATGTAAATTTAAATAAAATTTGTCTAGTGAGATGACACAACCCTGTGCATATGTATACAATATAATATTTATGTATGTAATTAAATGTTGCTTTTAGACCATACATTTTTGAAGACTAAAATTAAGCATTCCATGTCTTAATTTTTAAATTAAATCATGACAATTATTCTTTATGTGAGTTACGCATTCAAAAACATGTTTGCAGTGTATACAGACAGTACTTAAACACTTCCCAAGAACTTGCAAAGTAAATAATCTAGTTTTTTAATATTCTTGAGGAATTAAGGCAGCTTTTACATAAAGCAATATATGTAACTAATTGAGGGCATGTCCCTATCGAATATACTAAGCAACCTTAATACCCAAGTAATTTTAATATTTACTTATGTACTTCTCAAGAAAATTATGACTAAAAAATATGAAATTGCTAATACAATTGGATCAGGCAAATTTAAATTGTATATGTTAACATATATATATGTAATGCTTAAAAATCTATGTATATTCTATGTGGCCTCTATTACCTTGATCTAATTGTGATACATATATTTTTAAAAGAAGTTTTTACACTTAGTACATATTTTATGTAAAATTAAATAATTTTTGGCTTAACCATATTTGCACTAACGTGACAAATTACAATGTTCATATAAATACCCCCTTAATATAATAACTGCTCGAATTTATAATGGCCATTAGTACTTGGAGATCTGATCTTAAGGAATTATTAAGAAGAACTTTCATAAATTGTATTTGAAATTTAAGACTTTGTCTTTTGAACTGCCATATGATAATATAACCAGTATTTTTTCATATATATATTTACATCTTTTTTATACTTAAATTTTTGTACTTTAAAATGAATTTCGTTTAGAGTGAGTGTATACAAATTACTAAGGACATTGTCATCACCATATTGTAGATTATTTTTTGTAGCTTTATTTTTTATATTTTTTTTCTTTATAAAACTTAGAGTTTTCTATAACAAAGGAAATATCATAATTGGTAATTATATTTTTGTACAACAAATATAGAGCATATACAATATCAGAAAATAATATATTGTATTAAATCATACCTATGTAATTGTTAAAAATAAAGAATATTACCAAACCTTTAGTCTTTCATTCATAATCCAACTCTTTTGTCTGTCTAAATTACGAGCTTTGATATTGAATAAATTTGAACTCGAAAATATATTGAATAAGTTGTAAGTTTTATAGTCCAAGTTCTGAATTATATTTTTAGTAATATAGTCTTAAATATAACTAGGTACTTATATTGATAAAGCTTAGAATTAAGTAAACTCATTAGCATAATATCATTTCTAGGTACTTTTGAACTAACTAAATATAATTAGAGGTAACATTACTCACCCCTTAACACTGGTACAATATCTCCACCATTGATTCAAATATCGACTGCATTGATTATTGAAACATTTTCATTCAGAAATTTTATCGTAGAATCATGTAGCATGGAGCCCTTATAAAGTAATAAACGCTCTAAGCAAAGAAACCTATAAAAACAGTAAAACATAGAAATATACTTTTTTAGGTGTTACTGGATTAAATATTGCCTACATTAAGTTATAAATATCGTTTTGTACATGAATTTATGTTGAAATGTTTCGCTAATATCCAGAGCTTCCATAGTCAATAGATCTGAAACTTCGAAATGAGAAACAAAAAGAATGATATATTTGGAATAAACTTACGTTATAAACTAATAAACACTTTCTTAATTATATAAACCACTTCATAAACTAATTATTTAATAACTTTATAAACTAAAGTCGGCGTACCTTATATTAAAACAAAAGAATAGCAAAAAATCTAGCGGTTACTTTTGAAAACTACAGAATGGCGCCATGTTGCCAAGTTTGAAAAACGTTATCGTCTTATTAGACAACCAGATATACAATTTACTTTAAAGCCCGGTAAATTTTAACCACATAGAGTTGTCTCTCCCGAGTATTCCCTTAAAACCTCAAAAAGACTATGCACTTTTAAACAAAACCCTTGCTGTGACATTGCCTTGTTATGAGCTTTTTAAAAATATAATATACTCTATACTTATTTTCACAAATAAGGTAAAAAATAATTATTTAACTGTTTAATATAAATTATTATTTTATTTTATTCAAACAGATAATTTTTCTTTTCATTGTGTTATCTTAATAAATTGCAATGAAAATCAACTCGTTCTGCTTTGAGCTGCTGTCAATCAGAGATTGATATTTTTGATGCACTCCTGAAAACATTTTTATTCCATAAATGGAACACCCTGTACTATATATACATTTTTACTATATAAAGTGTGCTTGAAATATTTAAATCCTAGAAAACAAAAAATGTTCATTGTTAATTTGTTTGTTAAAAATTAGAAAATAAAGTCACTAATAAATCTATTGCATTTTATTCAATTTATGCTTGCATATTAAGGGTTTTTTAGTACTAAATAGAGTGTGCTTGAAATATTTAAATCCTAGAAAACAAAAAATGTTCATTGTTAATTTGTTTGTTAAAAATTTGAAAATAAAGTCTCTAATAAATCTATTGCACTTTATTCAATTTATGCTTGCATATTAAGGGTTTTTTAGTAGTTTTTGATTAAAACATAAATTGAACAATAATACTAAGTGTTTTACTGGTTGCCTCACTACTAATTTCATTTCATTTTTTTGCTTTCACCATTTTGTCAATAATCTACAACATCTCAAATTAAATCATACTTTCTGAGAAACTGGCGAGAGCGCAGGATTCACCATTTTCTCAAAAAGTATTATAGACATAAAGCGTTATTAGTAATTAGACGCTGAAATTGTTTCAGTATCCTACGCGCAATACTTCAGCAACTATTATTATCTGATTTTAAGTCTTTTAATTGGTTATACTCTTTATTCTATATATATTTTATATGAGTTTCTATGATTATTTGTGTGAATAGATCATGCATTTTAGTTCTTGCTTTAAACTAGAATGCTGTGATTATGATTGTAACAAGTAATATATTATTAGTAGCACGATTTTTGACTATTGTTAAGGACACGTTTTCAAGACGCTTAGAAAAATAGTAAACATAGCGATAAAATTATAAAAACTTTGGGAATTGTAGGAAATTTAACGTCGATTTAAAATACATAAACTATTGAAAACTTGCATTTTATTCTTTTATGAATAAATCAATTATGTTGAACCCTTGCAAAATTTTACAGCTTTAACCAAGCAACTTTCAAAGCACACAAGCTGAATTGAAAACTGCGGGAGTAAAAATTCTTTTTTAGATGACGCTATGTGATTTTATTGAATTTATAATTATTATTTCAAACAATTTTGACATAAATATTACTTAATCTAAAATAGCCTACAAAAAGAGGTGTCATGTACACAATACCATGAGCCTAGAAACTTCCTAATCCTCAAAATAAGGCAGATTCTTAGGGAGATATGTACGATAATCTAATGCATCCATAATGACTTAAGTAATATGGGTTTTTCGTTCTTATGTACCTAGTGAGTTCTGAATTAAATCTAGGTTACTATATAAAGAATGCAGAAATATCGGGTCAAGTTCCACTTAAGGCTACAACTAAGGCACCCATTATTGATCATTAATTTTTTTAATTCACAATAAAGTTTAAATAATATCTTATGGAAAAATTGTTTTTTAAGGATATCTTAGAGTTTATAGAGCTATCGCGCTGGTTGAGGGCGCGTTGGATTTGGAGTGCAAAAGACATCGAGTGAGTGTACTATCATCCCTCTTCAACCCTTATTTACGGGTAGTTTCCAATTTTAATGTACTTTTGGGAATAAATCTGGAATGCATTGGTCTATCGACTCAGTTAAAATGTTTTTGCAGTCAGGAGTGCAAAAGGTACCGAATGAGTTGTTTAGTCTCTCTGCAACTTTAATTTTAAGGGTAGTTTTTGATTTTTAATAGTTTTTTTTTGAGAATGAATTGGTTAGGAAAGGGAGAAGGGGGACTATATCGACTTAAGTAAGGTGTCGGAATAATGGGCGCAAAAATCATCGACGATTTTCAGTATTTTTAAAAATAAATCGAGAACTGTTGTGACTATCGATTCAATTGAGGTGTCGTTGGACTGCCATTCCTCTTCAGCCCCTATTTTAAGGATAGTTTTTTGTACTTTTTTTAGGAATAAATAGGGAACGGATGGGACTACCGACTTGAAATGAGTGTTGTTACAATTGGGAACGCAGAAGAAATCGAGTGGCAGTCATTTCAACTTCTGTGACACTAATTTTAGAGGTAGTTTTAATTTTTCGGAATAAATTTGGAACCCATAGAACTGTCGTCTCTAATGGGGTATTGTTGAATTGAGTGCAACCCCAAAGGCATCGTATGGCAGTACAACACCGGCAGCCCTTATTTTAGTTGTAGTATTAATAAATATAAAATTGTCGCAAAAATAAATAAAATTGTCTCAAAAGAAATTATAATACCAGTCAAAATAGAAAGTCCAGACCTATCCAAGTTTATTTTTTTCCACAGTTACAATATCTTTTAACGCAAATTTAATTTAAATCTAGTTCTTTACTTCACTACTGCTAGTACCTCTCCCAGACTCAATTTCTAGATGCGCCACTGATCGAGTTGTAGTTGTTTCAACCCCTGCAACCATTATTTTGGGACTAGTTAAGGGGTGGTAGATCTCGGTAAAAGGAACATATTTTCTCTCTATCGTTTTTCACATAAGTCCAAAATAACGGAGTTATTTTACTTTAAAAATTTCCAAAAAAAATGATTTTTTGCAAAAAGTTTGAGAACCACTGGACCTTTTCTGGATTTTCTTTCTTGTAAATTTAATCTACTACCTATATTGCCATATCATCAAGAAATTATGTTTTTTATCTAAAAACTAAAAAAATTTCCAAAAAAATTTTCAAAAAATTTTTTTGGTGAAAAAAAACTCATGCGAAAACCTACACTTATATCTGGGACACCCTGTATAGCACGACTTAATTTTATTTTTTATATTCCTAAAAGTTCGAATATAATTAATTATTTATCGATGTTTTTTCTCTAGACTTAAAAACTAATTATAATATTTCCAGACATAAATCAGTCTTTTACAACACATAATTGTTGAATTTTATTATATGTAAAACTGACTAGGTATTTTTACACAAATGAAGAAGGAAATTAAAGATAAAGGATTATACTATATTCGTATTGTAGCACATTTTTAGACAACTTCTTTATTTTTAAGTTTTTGATGGCCAAACATCAACAAAATATTCCTTATGTTTGGACTAAATTTTCTAGAAAATAACGACATAATTTAAAATTCCGTTACAATACGGAAATAGACTGAAGTTTTGTGATTACAGTGATATATAATTTATATGGTTTTGTAACAAATTGCTCGCTATTTTATAGCAAATGCTGAAGCTCTGCAAATCTGAATCAAGCCTTAATCAAAGCACGTGTGTTTGGAATTTTAGATGTGGCTTAACACGACAGGATCGGGCTAAGCCTTAAGCAGATTTCTGAAATATAATAAATATTTCCTTCGGCCACACACCCGACCACTGAGAGCGACCCGAACAGTACCTACAGCAAGGTTGAGCAAGGCTACAACGTAATCAAATACGTTTAAATAAAATATACGACGGCCTCTCCATAAGAGCAATGAGAGGATTTACGTCCCAGTATTGAAGGAGGACAGAAAATCGAGTCGAATGGTTTCAAGACATAGGTTCATCCTTGTTTAGTCAAACCTCCTACAAACCAAGGATAGACTTATGTAGGAAATGCATTGAAATTCTATAGCCATCCTTCAATATCGGGACAGGAATTTAAGCGGTACCCTCCGTATACTTTATTTTAAACGTATTTGAACGTAATAGACTCTTCTAACCTAGAAATTAATGGGCGCGTTCAGGGAACACAGCCGCTGACATTCAGCGTAGAATTTCGCTGA